GAATTGATGCCTTTGAATTATGGTGTTGGCAAAGAATACTGAATATACCACGGACTGCCAGAAGAACAAACAAATCTATCTTGGAAGAAGTACAGCCAGACTGCTCTTTGGAAGCGAGAATGTTGAGACTTCGTCTCACATACTTTGGACATGTTATCAGAAAGGATCAGTCCCTGAAGAAGGACATCATGCTTAATAGAGTAGAGGGTCAGCACAAAAGAGGAAGACCCTCAATGAGATGGATTGGCACAGTGGCTGCAACAATGGGCTCCAGCACAACAGCGATTGTGAGGCTGGTGCAGGACCGGGCAGCATTTCTTTCTGTTGTAAACGGGGTTGCTGTGATTTGGAGCCAACTCAATGACACCTAAGAGCGACACCACCACCCACTGCTATTTCTCTACTACACTGTCTGTCTTTTTCGTGTCAATTTTTCTGTAAGGCTTTTGTTTTTTTTAGCCTTTGGCTATCATATTTGTTGCAAACATCATCCCCATCATTTATTAATTTATGATCTTACAAAATAAACTTAAAAAATTTTATGTAGTCAAATATATTTGGGTTTTTAAAATAAAAAATTTCTGGGGTCCATCTTGGCTAGGAAGGTCTCCACCCCATTCCAAGACTATAAATTGCCCTGTATTTTCTTGCAATAATTTATTTTTACATGAAAATCTTTAATCCATCTGTCTTAGTTACCTAGGACTGTTGTAACAAAAATACCACAAGGGGGGGGCTTTAAAGAACAGGAATTTATCGTCTCACAGGTTTCGAGGCTGGAGATCCCAGTGCGGGCGTCGGCTGTAGGGAAGGGCCCCTCCTTGTCGATAGCCCCGGGCATTCCTTGGCATCTCTCGGTTTGTAGCAGTCCTTCCAACCGGTTCGTTCCCAGGAGGTTATACATAAGAATCCCCCGGGGAGCTTGTTAACCTGTAGATTCTGATTCAGTATATCTGGAGTGGAAACGCAAATTCTCAGCAGGGAACTTGTTAGAGATGCAAACTCTTAGCCGGGGTTTGAACCAGAAGGAACTGGTTGGAAGCCCTGGCTGTCGTGGGTCGTTCACACGGTCTCTTCCTCTGTCTGTGCGTCCCTTTCCCTCTCTGTTTTCTCTTTCTAGAGGGCGCCACGCAGAAGGGATGAAGCGTAAGACCCATCCCACTCCAGCAGGACCTCACTAACCTCACAAAAGAAAAGCCCTTATTTCCAAATGGGGTCACCCTCACAGGTGCAGTGCTTAGGATTTCAACATATGCTTTTGGGGGACACGATCCAATTCATAACAACATCCAGTTCCAAATCTGAGACACTTCCTACCATCATCAATCAATAAATAAGGCACTCGTAATGGCCCCATAATGCAACACTACACAACCAACGTAAGTCCCCTTCTAAATACCTACCTAAGGGAACTAAAAGCACATGCCCCCAAGAACACCTGAATGCACAGGATCACAGCATCTTCACTCATCAGCCAAAACCTGGCAACAGCCCAAACGTCCCTCAGCAGGTGAAAGGGTAAGCCGACTGTGGTATACTCATATGATGCAATATCACTCAGGAACAAAGAAAGGGCAAACCACCAATACACAAAGCCACTCAGACGGACCTCACCGCAGAGGGCAGGGGAGAAGGTTCTAACGCTCCATACCTTGATGGGACGATGCTGACATGGGCACAGATGTTTCTCAAAACTCATCCAACTACACACCCTTAAAGTGCATTTTATGGTATGCAAATTACACCTTGGTAAAGTCAGTTTTTAAAAACTGTTTTCAAAGCGTAATTATATATGGAAAACATTCCTCAGTAGGTATTCCCAGCTTGTTTTTCATGTATGTTTACATATGCAAAAAATAAAAAAAATAAAAAAAACCACCACGAGTTGACTACAACTCACAACAGTCCTGTATGTGCCAGCGTAGAACGGCGCTCCATCGGGTTTTCAAGGCTGTGATCTTTCAAAACCAGATTGCCAGGCCTTTTTCCCAAGGTGCCTCTGAGTAGGCTCAAACTGCTAACCTTCTGGTTAGCTGCTGAGGGCTTAACCATTTTCAACACTCAGGAACATTCCTTGTTTACGTTAACACAAATATGAAATATTAATCAGTGCTTAAGCATAAAACTGGAGTCCCTGAGGGAGTGAAAATGGTTAACTCGACTGGCTGCTAACCAAAAGGTTAGCGGTTTGAGTCCACCCAGAGGTGCCTCAGAAGAAATGCCTGGCACTCTATCTCCCCAAAATCAGCCATACAAACCTTATTGAGCACAGTTCTACACTGACTAAGGGTGGCTTTCCCCCCACCCCCCTGTGCGCTTCTTGGGGTTCCAGATTTTATTAAATCAAAATGAATTACTTTTGTAATCAGAAAAAAATGTTTAGGAATGACTCAGAAAGGAGGGTGAGGATGGCTGCACGACTTGAAGAACGTGGTCGACATCATTGAAGTGTGCGTGTAGCAACTGCTGAACAGATGTACACTGTGCTGTATATATTTTCAACGGCAACAATAATAAAATAATTTTTTTTTAAGTTTTTAAGCATCTGTGGCTTGCTCAGGCTTTGCCCTGCACGCTGCAGACAGGGAAGGCTGGGGGCACATGGCATCAACACAGCAGGGGCCCACCCAGGGTGCCCCCCGCCAGCCTTGGGGAGGGGGGTCCCGGTGGGGCTGGCAGAACAGAAGGAAGAGAGGGATCCCCGTCAATGTCCACGGTGGAGCCTGGGAGCCAGCATCCTCTCTCCGTATTCCCCATCATCGCCACCCCTCCCCCGCAGTCCTCAAACCCCAACTCCAGAAGAACAAACCCAGAGTCTATTTAAGCGCCTTTAACAAGGTCATTGCTCGCCCCCTTTGAGAAGCCTCCCTTGGGGCTTCCTGTTTTCAATCTGCCCTACTTCCGACCAGCTAGTGACCTCACTCACGCCCTAAACGCTCTCCAGTGTGCCTGGCTCCTTTTGGGGGTCACGAGTTACAAAGAAAAACCACAGAGATGGTGCGGTTTTATCTCTGCAGCTGTAGCCCAGCGGTTTTCAGTCACTGTTTTCACATCATGTTGGAAAGCACAGAGGGGGGAGCCCTGGGTGCCTCCACGCAGAACCACCTTCCCGGTCAGCAGGAATGAAGCAGTGCCCATTCCCAGGAAGAGGCTAGGCAGCTATGGGCGTTAGCAGCGGGGAAAACCAGCAGGCTAAAAGCAGACACAGCCCCACACAGAGCCCAGAATGTGGGGACCGGAAACCATACTGGTAGCCCAGCCTCAAAACAGGCAATGAGCAACTCCACACCCTTGGCACCTCCTCGGGGTGGGGGCCGTCCATCATCCCCCTGGGACCCCGTCAGGGTGGGGGCTGTCCGGTGCTCACACAGCCTCTCAGCTCCTGAGGGAGGCAGGACACCCAGCAGGGACAAGCACGGGGCTGGAGTTGGCCCCACCGAACTTCAAAGCCCGGCCCGACAACCATCGGGGCCAGTTACCAGACACTGTGGAATGCCACGACGTCTGAATATGGCACAGGCATAAAGCACACTTCCTCACACAGAGTAAGTGCTCCACAAAACGGCGGAGATTTGCAGGGAAGCTCAGAAACGCCAGGCCCTAGGACAGGCGCCGAATCACGGATCCCCACGGGGGCACGGTGATGTCCCCGCATCCAACAGAGCAGGGGACTAGAGATATCGTCCCTGTGGGGATGCTCGGCTGAGGGTCACATTTGAGGCGTAACATTTCTACCAAGAAGACATCCAAAAGACCTTGGGAAGTAGTCTCAGATCCCCATTCACATCATCGCCCAAAAGACACTGTTTCTGGTGACCCTAAGGTGGGAAACCAACTTTGGCAATGGGTCAGAGGCCTAGGCCTCCCACCCCCTCCAGCCCACCGGGAGTCTCATGACCCATTCTCTCACCCACAGTCCACAAGGCAGAGCCTAAAAGGCACCGCAAACTCAGAATGGCCACACAGGAACTTCTGATCCCCCACGGCACCCGTACCCAGTCATCAAAGAAGCAAACAAATCCCTGCTCCCTGCAGGCTCCCTCTCTCAGTCAACGGCAGCTTCAAGCGGCCTCAAACCTGGAGTCCTTGCTTGGCTTGCTCCAGAGTCCATCCCTGCTTGCATGTCCCTAACCAGCGTGTTCCACTTGCCAGGATCAGGCCCACAGCCTCCTAAACCATCCCTCCTCTCATCTGTCCAGCCAGTGGCCAGCAGTCCTCCCCATCAAACTCTGCTCCTGCCACTGCAGCCTGGAGTCTCAGGGGCTCTGCTGTTCCTTCCTGGATCAGTCTCTCCCCGAGGGGCACAGAACTCAGTCCCTCCAGGCCTCTGGACAAATGTCACAGTGCAGTGACACCCCTACAAGACAGCAACCTGCCACCACCTGCCAGGCCTGTCCCTTAGCCAGTGACCACCTCCATCAGACAAGCATCTCCTGCGTGCTCCCCATGTCCCTTCCGTGGACAATGCCCCACTGCAGCAGAGGCTCCTTGGGATGCTCTGGCATGGGCGAGGACACCACTGTCCCCAACAGGCACTTGGTAAACACTTGTAAAAGACCTGGATGAATGACACGGAGCACACCCACAGGGTTTCCTCTGCCCTGACCACCCTCCCCCTTCACACTCTCCAACACAGCCCTGGGTAATCCTCCCCCTCCTTCCCAAGCTCAAGTGACATCTCATCTCCATGCCAGTCCCTCTGCCACCAGATAGCTCTGCAAAGGGGCCAAGCGTGGGCCTTCCCGTGCGCCTCAGGCCAGCTGCCTTACAGGAAGGGGAGTGTCCTTGTTTCCAGCTGTCCCCTGCACAGTGCCCTCCAGGTGGCAGGCATACTGGAGAACTCCAGAAATTACATGTTCTCCAAACTGGGGGGCCCTCGAGGTCACTCCTCCAGGCTATGGCACCAAAATGAACCTCCCACTCCCCCATCCCCCACAGAGCACATCCAGCAGAGGTTACCCAGCCCCTTCTCTAACTTCTTTAGCCACAGGTACCCTTACCTCGCCAGGCTGCTCCCTCCCGTTGATACAGGAAAGCATCCATCTTTCGGTCAAACTGAAATCCACTGGGGGGCCTGGTACCACCCTAGTCCTTAATACATCCGAGCGCCGTCCTGATGGCTGCCTCTAGCTACCTGCAGACCCGCGTGTGGAAGACCCCATCTAGGCCACCCTCCCGGCTGCTGACCTCCGCTGAGGTCACGCAGGCGCCTCGCCCAAGGGGTCCCTCCGGGAAGTGACCACATCTCCAGCCCCTACCCCCACTCCCTCGGCGGCTCGCTCTTTGTCCTCTGCTGTCTACAGAGCGCAATACCCTCCGCGACCAGGACGGGACCTTTTCTCGCCAGCTGCCGTTGAGGACCCTGCACCTCCCCCACCCTCCGCTGTACCCTGCCTCCCGCCTTCCTGGACACCTCCCCCCACCGCGACACCGGCTCTCCTCGGCCTGCCTGTCCCCAGCTCCCTCTCCCCAGGGCCCTCCAGTCCCCCGTCCTCCGAGCGCAGCTAACCGGCCACACTCACCCGCGCCGGGGGCGCCCGCGGGCCCCGGGCTCCGCCACCAGCGCAGCTGCGCCCGCGCGGGC